GATAATCTTAACATCCTTTGGAAAAACCTTTAGAAACCTCGAAACGTTTGGAAGAGAAGTTAGACTAAGGATTAACGAAGAGAAAACCGAACTCATGATTCAGAGTACGAAACGGTGATATCGTGTTGGGCAGAGTGTTATAATTGGAGACTATAGCTTCGAAGTAGTGGACAACTTCAGCTGCTTGGGCAGCAATGTATATGTTACAGTTAAAGCATTCTTTGCGTGAATGTACACATTGTCTAGTCAATGCATTAACTAATTTATCTAGTTAATGTGTATATAAAATACGAAATGTAAACTTTAACTAGTTGATGTATACAATTACTAATGACACCCAGTTAAAGCTCAAAGCACGTTTACTAGTATATTACATAACGAAACCCAACCCAACCCTTTTTTTTTGGCGCAGAGGAGGAGAAAATCTTTATGACTGAGCTCCGACCGAATATGGCGCCTGAACTGATCCGATTGAGAGTGTGGGACATCATGGCTGTGGTGTTGCCAGGCTTACCGCACTAAAAACTCCCCCTCTTTTCTTTGCATTTTTATCGGTCTAGACGGTCCGGTATCGCTCATGCATTTCTTCAGGCTGTCTGTGAATACAGATGTTGAATACTTTACTGGAACTCTCTTCTTCATTCCTTTTTCCTTTTCTCTTTAACTGTACTATTCTACTGTTCTTTTCCATCCTCAGCTTCAAACCTCTCATCCATAGTCAACGGTCTCCCAGCTCGAAACACAGTAATCTATTAATTTTTTAACATGTTAACTGTTACTCGTTCACCTCCGTTGAAGATCTTAAGTTGTGACTTCTCAACTTGGTCCGAAGCATTAAACTTCTATCCACCACCTCAGAGCTCTCGTCCATCACTAATGGTCTCCCAGCTGAGTGAGGGGGTGAGTGCCCTCTCATTTCTTCTTCCACCCATTCCTGCTGTTACTCCTTGCTCTCACCTCTCTTCACCTCCAAACTCTCTTCGTCGCTCTTCAGCCTCTTTCTTCCTCATTATGGATCGTAGAAGGTTCATAATTATCTCTCCCTCCTCCCTTCCACGCACTATCAAAACGGTTTTTTTTCATTGATTTTTTCCCCCATAAGCTCCTCCGCAATTCTCCTATCTTTGACTTACTGTTCTATCCCTCCTGGAATTAAGACCTTTCTCTGCTTTAAGTATGAGCTTAAGATTCTTCTCAATCCTGCTCTCTCCAGAGACTTTCGGACTTCCTTCCACGGTACCGAGTTGAAGGCGTTTTTTATATCAAGAAGCACCATAATTCTGTATTCCCTATATATGGGCATATGACACTAATTTTCTTGCTCTTGCTTCTTTAACTATAGTCATTTTAACCCAACCCTAAACTCTAAATTTTCTTTGTTATAACTTTTACTAACATCTGTTTATGTACACATTCACTAGTAAATATATACACTCTATGACTGATAAATACTTTCACTAAAACGTTACGTTAATGTATACATTGACTTGTTATCATCACTAAGAAATCGGTGCAGCTACTGGACCGATTGAGAAAAAGATACACAGAAAAATGTACAGCCCAGAAAACGACACGGAGAGTGAAGACACAACAATGAACTATGTGAGCTACAATGAGCCCTCCCCTCACAACACACATAAAATTAATATGCTACGTGTCGCAAAGAGATAACCACGAGGAAGACGTATGGCTGGTACACCAAGAGCAAGATGTTAAGACAACGTGATTCTCGGGATGAGAAGTTACTTTTTAATGCTACTGTGAGATTAATTTTCGTTTCCAAGGTTTACCCGAAGCTTACCCAGTCCGTATATTTACTGACTAACGTTTTCTGGATAAACCGGAAACTGAGACTGTTGGAAGCGCAACATTAAGGAGACCATGCCTCGATTTGAACTCTCGTGCTTAAGATTTATTGGAGTTTATAAGAAACATCTTAAAAAATTTTATTATGTAGAGTCAATCAACCAGTATATTTTGCTGTATTTTATGTCGAGCTCTTTTTTTTCTATTTTTATGAGATTGAAATCGCAGCTTTGCGTTTAAAGTCATGCCTAGATACTTGATTTGAATAAGGCATTTGTTGACTATTATGAATTAGTATTGGCTATACTTTTTGTTTGTAAAATCGCCATGACTTACTTTCATTTGACTTTATATTCCATATCTTTGTCCATCTCTGTAATTGTTATTTAGCTTGTAATTTTTCGGCTGTGTCGTCTATAACTATGACTATTGTATTATTTATTAATTGAGGAATGTTACAGGTGTACAGCAAGCATATTGGTTAAAACACGCTTCCTTGTGGTACTCCGGCAATGATTTGTTTTAACTCTTATATACTTCTTCCTGTTTTATTCGAAGGAATCTATCTGTAATGTAGAATTGTAGAGTTTCTACGAACTGTTTTGGTAGATAAGACCTAAGTTTGTGTACAAATCCTTTGTGCCAAACTTTGTTAAATACCTTGGCCACGTCAAGAGAGGCTGTAAAGCATATGACATAACATCTTGAGATGGTTTGCCAAGTTTTGGCATCATAATCACCTCCGCTACTTTCTAGATATTCGGGACATAACGTAATCTGAATGAGGCAATAACTATTAGATTTATCAGTTTTATTATAACTTTCCTAGGCAGATTTTGTAATATTTCTCGATTAAATTCTTCTGTTTTTTTTTTGGTTAATGTTCTCCTTAATCTCCTTAGCTACCTCCCTTGTAGAAGTAGATTACATGTTTTCTTTATCATTCTGAATGAAATTTTCCTTGTCTTCCTCTTTTTCATTAACCTGATACGTTTTCTCAAGTTGATTTGTAAATAGGGTAACATTTTGTTGACTACTTCTTGTCCGCTTTCAGTTCTTAGTGCACGAATCTGATAGCAGCCTTTTTAACTGATCTATTTCTCTTTTTAGTCACTGACTAAGATTATTTAACTTTATTTTGTCTAGAGGTGTTCTTGTTTGCTGCCATCTTATTTTTCTTGTTTTTAAATGTTAGTTGTCTCATTTCTTTTTGATATTTATTGTACCTGCAATTCTTCTTCTGAGTGTGAAAGTATTTCCCAAGCTGTTTGTTGTATACTTGATACACTTGATAAAACAGTTCCCTCCTTCATCAAGCTGTTGGTTTCTTTTTAATGGTACTGTGAGATTAATTTTCTTTTCTAAAGTTTGAGCCGCAGCTTACTCCAGTAAAATAATTGGAGAGTGTTTTATCGCCTTGTTTCTTTAGAAGTTCGAGATATTGGAATTTATGATATAAATTCATAAACTAAAACTAAAAATATTACTAAAGTTGAACCTAATTAAAATTGAGAAATTGAATCTATTGTCACTATGTTAATGATTTCGACAGAGAGTGAAGACTAAAAATTCATCCAAACTTGATTGTAGTTTAGATTTTATGCTATTTTGGAAAGGTGTAAGGTTTTACACAAACCACATATTCATCATCTTGTTACAATAGCGTATGCGTTAAGGGGCTCTTTAACATCATACAATCTATTCGTACAGTAATTACATAAACAATACAATCTACAGTAATTTTGAAATTATCTTGAAAAATATTCAGCAGAAGCGAAAAATTTAACAGTTAGAACAGTGTGTTTGATTTTTAATTATATCAACATTTATTATTCATAAGGAATCATAAGCATAAAATAATAACATTAACTTTCTACAGAAATCACAAAATGACCACACGAAAAGAACATGTAAAAAACTAATAACATATTCATGAGCTAAGAGTTGGCAAACAGAATATTTGTCAAATTTTGTAACTTTTCTTGTAATAAATCTTTGCTATTTTAGTCGATGGCTTCTTTTTTCAAATCGATTACATAATTAATTTACGATTAGTGATGACCTTCCTCTTAAAAAACTGTTCAAAAATTAAAATACTCTGTATAAAATTCTCAGTCGATCAACATGTAAAAATCAACTTAAAATTAACAATACTAGTAAATGGCAGTAAATTAGTTTGACTCAATAAAATTAAATTACAACTCTCATTAGACCTCTCAAAAAAATCAACAACAAAAATTAAAAGCCTTGAGACTATCTGAACTTATTTATCTTTTGATTTGAAAAAAGTTAATCAAATCAATAATAGTAATCTTTAAGTACTGTTAAAAAATATCAAAAACCTAAATTATGTCCATACCAATTATCAATAATTATTTCTCGATTTTTCCAGTACTGACGCACTTACTTTATATTAATATTAGTTTTGTCTGTATACACGATTATTTTTGTGTTGATTAGATAAGATTTTAAAAAAATGTGATTGAACTGTTATATTAATAAATTACGAGCTAATAATTTTTATTATTTAAGAAAACTTTTAATTGATTGAAATATTTCTTCAAGGAATTTGTTTATTTTTTCCATAAAAATTGATGCTGCGTAATACTAAATACTTAAAATAAAATAAATTATAGTGATTCTTAAATTATTTTTAATGTCACAATGGAATTAAGGGGTATTAACAGGATTTTTTTTTATTTTAGGAATTAGTATTTTTTTGAATGACTTTTGGCCTTTAGCATTCACATGATTACGACCACGACTGGGTCACGACGGCATTTTAAAATAAAAAAAATAAAAAAAACTGATAACATGCCGTCCGCTATTTTAAAACAACAATAGATTATCATAATTACGTGTTGGATAAGATTCGATGGTATGAAAATAATTTCTGCGTCCTTCAATAAAAATTTTCTCTTTTTTGAATAATCCATAGAAATTGGTTCATTATGAAAAGTGGAAAAATAAAAGCAATGTTAATATTTAAATAAACAGTTATTGCAATATAGAAATAAATCTATTGCAAATCATGATTATAAATCATGATTAGCGTTGTTAGCAATCAGGAAACGTGTTTTGATATCATTGTATTTAAATCAACACTTAAAATATCTCTAAATAAAAACGATAACGACTATAATTATTATTTTTACAAAAAAAGTAGTAATAATCATTAAAATATATTTTGTTACCTTTTTTTGAATCATCTAAATTAGTAATAGCTGTTAGATCGTTTTCACTTCCGGGTGTATGTTGTACGATGGTAACTGGTCCATGAAATTGAGTAACCGATCCAATAACCACATCACTGGAATTGATAATATTTATGGTAGGTTGAACATCTTCGCCGGTAAAACAATTTATAATAGCGTCATCTTCGCTTGAAGTTGACGAAACCAAAGAAATCGTACTTCCATCTCGACTTGCTCGGGAAATAGCGTCATTTATTTCTGATATCGTAAACGGCGGTAAATTTGAAATGACTTCGTCCATTGACGATCGTGGTGATTTCTTTCATTTTTTAACACATTTTTCAAATATAAATTTATTGACGATGAAAACCAAAATATGAAACGGTGACGCGGAACATCAACTATACTGGACTACAGCCAGTATTTTATAGATTATAAAATTTTAACGTATTTGTACTTAATGGTTTTGCATTAGTCATATAAATATGGAGCAGAGAGTGTTTTGATCTTGACAGATTAGGATGTCCATGTTATCAACACGATGGCACGACAACTACTTAAGACTCGGGGATAAGTGGATCTTATCAAAACGTGATAAAGTTCCAGGTATCCCTCTTTCATAATTTCGCGAAAATTTGATTTATTGTTTAGCAAGATATTTTAAAGAAATAATTTTTTTTATTAATTTAGTATCAGAGATGGTTCATTCATAACTGTTAGAATAGATTACAAAAATTTGTTAAGTCTACACTCAACTTCACTTTTTATATGACATTTTTAATTAAATAATTTTAATTAATTTTAACTTTAATTCTATTCTAATTCTTTTTTTTGTAGCTAGTTCCAAGTCAAAATCTTAAATTATAGGTTTGAATTAATTCTAGAACTCAATCATTCATTATATGGTAAATAAAACATGAGTATGCCCGAATCATGTTGCGTTAGAATCAATTTTCTGATGTTCTTCACAAACTTAAAGTCCTAAAGGTTTGGGAATTTTTATTAGCAAAGTGGACAAGAAAAAGTGCTAGAAATTATTTTGAAGTTACCGCTAGGGGTTAACTGCCATAATGAAACAAATTTCCCGCTATCGTGGAAAGTTAAATGATGAGCTATAACTTTGAGAACATCATTTGATAGCTTTTAAGTATTGTTTTGCTTTGCGACACTTCTGATATCTGTCATAATAAGGGAGGCGAGTTTTGGTCTTGTTTGAAAGAGCATTCTATGTTCTTTTTAAAGATATTTTTTGTGAAACCTTTTGGTTGAAAATAGATAAGCTAGAAGGCGTTATCTGCAGAATTTACATATTTTTGTGATTTAAAAAAAAAGTTAAGTGGAACGGTACTATTTACTTGACAAACCCTTAGTCACCATAAAATTTTCAAAATTTTAGTGAAAACCGCATTTCGATATCTCCATCCGTTCTCGAATTATAGAACAAAATATATAAAATACCTTAATCAAGCTACATTAGCAAACAAATCACAGAGCACAAAAATGTTATTACGTAGACCTTTTTATCCAAGCTTAAGACTGGCTCAAAACTATTTTTTAAAGCGTGTATAAAGGCCAATGGGCTAACGAAGCATATAGTACAATGACAATAAAACAAAATAAGCCAAAATACTTACAATTACTGAACTTTAAGTCAGAAATAGGTCACAAATGTTCAAATTGTCCTCCATCATTCTTGATTTAATCTAGTTTCAGCAGAAAAACCGATGCTTGAATTTCAGCTCTGAACACGTTTCTAGACACGTTCTAATAACGCGATTCAGATAATGATTACATCATTTAAATGCTAACGTACGTTTCGGCCATAAAGTGTCGGATAACCATCAAGCTGGAATTAGCTATTCCAGTATCTATTCATGTTTCCAATGAGATGTTTTCTAAATGGGGTGGAAGAAATACGTTTAAAATTTCCAAAAACAAATTTTAACCAAATGTTAAAAATTACTTCCGTTTCTCTTTAAGCGTGCTAGTCCCTACTAATTGCTAGGTAGTTGTATCAGCTTGATCAACCTTTCAGCATTCTTCACTGCTCTAAGTGATGAAATCCTCTTTCTTGCTTCTTTAAACGAAGAAGAGACAATTGTTGTTAATATTCAGATGTTAAAACAAGAACTTCCTATCGAGGTTATAGATGTTATTTCTTATAAATGGTGAAATAACCCTTGTACAACCAAAACTGGGTCAATAATGACCCTAAAAAATAATTCTTTACGTAGCATACGAAATCAAAGTTTGATGATGTTGTCCTTTCATATATTCTCTAGTATTATTATTGTCATGCTATTAGTGATATGCAATTAGTTCATACTTTTATATATTGGGTCATAAATGACCGGATTATGGTTGTCATACATCTTTGGAATCAGAATAATGCATTCAACTGTCATATTTACACCGCAACAATAAGCAGAAATAGATTTATAGACATTTTACATTTTATACGATTCGTTAACCTAGACACCAAGCCTGTGAGAAAAATAATTGATAAGCACCTCTGCGAACGTTACTGTCATTTTTTCAAAAAAAATGCAGTGAAGCTTATGAATGTTCTGAGTTCTGAGTACGGAACAATTGACGAGCATTTAGTTTCCTTCGGGGGACGTTGTCCATTTAAAGTATATATTCCAAGCAAGTCAGGAAAATATACAATAAAAGCTTGAATGTTATGCGACGCCAAATTTTTTTATTGTGCAAATTTATAGATTTATTTAGCAAAAGTTCGAAAAGTAGTATTCTTACAGGAACTAGGTATATCACATGTCCAACCCGAAATAAATTGAACAGCATCAAATATTGAAAAAGATGGAAAGGGAATACCAAATAGTGTAAACATTGCAACTGAAAATACAGGAAGAAACCGTTAGCAACCCAAAAGCGGGGAGGATGTCATTAATATCGAGGAAGTGACTTAAAGCATTTTATAAATCGTGATTTCTGTACTAAATTTGTGTGTACTGTACAGAGTGGGCAAATTTGGGTGTTATTATAGGCTATCTCAGAAACTATAAGAGATACGAAAAAAGTAGGTGCCATGTCTCGGTCTCTTTTTCCGAGACTACTCCAATCCCGTAAAGAGCAAATCTCTATCTTCTTTTGTTTTTAAGTTATAGCCAAAAAGTTAAATTTTCGTGATTTCTAAAAATGCTCATATTTCGTTTATTTTTGAAATTAGAGAAATGGGGTTAACATATTCTTAAGGCACTTTTTTGAGTAGAATATACTATCGTTGAAAAATTTTAAACAATGCTGATAATTTTTGAGATATAACATAAAGTTGTATTTTTTTAAATACAAACTATAGTTGATTATGGTGTTACTGAAAATAGCATATTTTTAGCTTTCCATTGATGTATCGCACGCATGATGTTTCTGCGGAAAATAAGCGTTATTTTTCAATTCTAAAATATTAAAGATTGAAATTAAAATTTTAAATTATAGTAGGCGAGGAAATCGTTAAATGCTAGTTAGTTACTATAGCAATGTGAGTATACTAGTCATTTCATTAATTACTATTATTATTATTACGAAACGAGTTTCCCGTTTAAAAAGTTCCGCATTATCTTTAAATAAAACGATAAACCTAAATATGGAATATATTGGAGTCCGCTTTGAAGATGATACATAAGTCGTCATATCCCCATTGAAACGGTGTTTCAATGGAAAGTCCGCTCCTAGTTTATGATCCCTAATTTTCCTCTATCTCACCCAATTTCAAAAGAAAAGATTGCTGATATGAAAAAACTTTTAAATCTGATGTTCGGGGAAAACTGGGAAAATACTACCGAAGATTTCATTCATTGATTCCGAACTGTTCTAACCTTACAACCAGTAAGTTTAGTAGAAGAAGATGACAGTTTGTGACTGTTAAGTTCCTGAAGTTGTCCATATTTAATTATTCAGTTATTACATTTCTTGTATTTTTAATAAACAAACTTTACTTACTAACCATTTTTTTATTGGTGAACAAAGATGCTGAGAAATTTAAATTAACTATTCAAAGTTTTTATTCGTTGGTACAAAACCAACTTTATTCTGTTATATTCGTGCAAAACCGCCTACTATAATCAAAATTTTGAACCATAGCGCTTACTATTTTGGAATTGAAAATTAACGCTTATTTTCTGCAAATACACCATACATGCGATACATCATTGGAAAGCTAAATATATGCTCTTTTCAGTAACATCATAATCAAGTATAGTTTGTATAAAAAAAACACATCTTTGTGTAGTATCTTAAAAATCAGCAAGTATGTTTAAAATTTTTCAATGGCAGTATATTGATTTCTGAACACCCTGTATAAAAGATAATACAGAAACTTTTTCTATTGTTAAAATATTTCTCACAAACTTACTAAAGCGCTGGAGAGCTAATAGATTTCATTATAAATTATTTAAAAAAACAAATAATAATTGGTTTAATGGCGAAATTATTATTGGTAAGAAGAAAAAAGAAAATCCACCATCAACACTGAAAGCTGGAAGACCATCAAGTAGTTTCAATAGGAGTTGTGAGAGAAGTAAAAAAAGAAAAATTCGCAATTTATTAGAAAAATCCACTGAAGAGCTAAGTTTGGCTATTCAAATGGCTTATCACCGAAGTGGGAAAAGAGATGTCACATATCTTATTAAACAGACTACGACGACAACCTCTCCATCCGCAATAAAACAACTTAAGAGCACTGTCTTGGATAATGCTAAAGGAACACGAACAACGTCATCTGTTCAAGTTTACACACCCCAAAAAGCGCTATCGTTAATTGTTAAATTGAAATTAACAAAATTTCAATATGTGACGATGCGAAAGAAGCAATTCAGAGAAATTGTATAGAATATGAATATTACAGGCAAAAAGAGACTGCTATCCGCCCCACGATAAAATTACAATATCTGACAGCATTGTCGACATAGACCTACAAAGTCTTCTTGATTTAACAGTCAATCGTTTATTATTATCAAAACAGGAAGAACTTGCTCAAACTTTTTCCGAAAACTGTACACAGCTTCTACACAGTACTTTATAAATGGGGTAGGGATGGTAGTTCTGTACACGCTTTATATAAGTAAAAGTTTAACAATTCTAATAGTACAGATTCCGATATTTCACAGTCTGCCCTCATTCCTATAGAAGTTTATTACACGCATTTGACTAAAAAACTTGTTGTATGGCAAAACCTGCGAACTAGTTCTACACGTTATTGTAGATCAATTCGTTTTATATTTGCAAAAGAAACGGTAATTAACTTAAAAAAAGAAATGAGTCACATAAATAAACAAATCAGTACTTCAAAGCCAACTGAAATTGAAATTAGAGAACGGAAATTTATTATCACCCATAAGTTATGCAAAACTATGGTGGATGGTAAAGTTTGTAATGTCTTGACAAACAATTTGTCTGCTCAAGTTTGTTATATCTGCGGCATGTCTCCCAAAGATATGAACAAGCTTGATGTTCTACATTTGTGTATGGATTGTCAACCTTGCATGCAAAAATTAGATTA